ACAAAAGACCACGGCGCGGAGCTGCGTGGCAACATCTGCGTACGAGCCTTCAAGCGTCACCGTCGTCGCGTGGTCGGCGGCTTCTTTTCTCAAAGTGCCTTCCGAGACCGTCAACGTAGCCGAGACAGTTGCTGCCTTGGTGCTGGGCAGGGTCATCGGCAGGTTGCTCCACTGGCCGTTCCACATGCTACTCGAGGTCGCGACCGGATAGTGCAGCGTACACGTGGCTGTGGGCGTCGGCGCGGTCAATGCAGCCGGTGCGATCTCCATTTGGATGGTGGCGACACCGCCGGCGGTGCTCGGCGCTACGAAGAGGACGTCGCGGAGGGCAGCGTTGAGGTCCGTCGCATGGCCTTGCAGCGCGAGGACGCGCGTCTCGCTGCCTGTCGTCGCAATCGCACTCGACGTGGAAGCTGCGTAGCGCAAATGCCCTTCGGACGTCGAGACGTGGACGACTTGTTGATGGGTCGCGTGCGTCGAGAGCGGCGAGAACGGGATGTGCGACCACGCGCCCGACCACATGGAGGCTTCGGCGCGGCTCGGGTAGTGCAGCGTGTAGTACGTCGTTCGGCTCGAAGACGGCGCGACGTAGAGCTCGGCTTCGCAGTTGTCGAGCATCGACTGGATCGACACGTCATCATCAAATGTCGACACCGAGGCGACGGGCGACGTGGGCATCACCAATCGCTTGGGCACCCAAAGGCCACTGGGGATCTCGTGCACCGTGTGCTTGACGGCAGGGACGTACGTCACGCTCGTGTTGTACGCAAGGCTCTGCCGACGACGGGGCGACAGGCTGGCCGTATTTTCCATGTCGACGCGCGCACCGCCCGTTCGTACCCAGAGCTTGGACGCAGCGGCATTGAGCGTGGGCTCGGCGCGAAGGATCGTCGAGATGTGCATTTCGACCGTTGCGACGCCGCTCGCAGCGTCCGGAGCCCGAAAGTCGGTTGCCTGCAACACCGCACATAAATCATGGGAATCGCCGCGGAGGCAGAGGCGCGGCGCCGCCACGCCGTTCGCGCAGTCGACAAACGTAATTGCAAGGTCCGTGGCCACGCAAAGCGCACCCGAGGATGCGGCGAGCACGACTTGCACGTACGAGGCCGGCGGCAAGCGCGTTGTCAGCGGCAAATTCTGGTACGTGCCATGGTACATGGAGCGCTCGGCGCAGGCCGGGTAGTAGATCGTGTAGTAGGCGGTGGTGCGGCGTGGCGCAGCACGGTCGTCGTTGTCGCTCTGGTTGCTCGGCGCGTCCGAGGCTTGGTTGGTCGCCTCGTCTTCGTCCGACTCGTTCTTGTCGGTCGAGTTTGCATCGTCGTCGTCGTCGTGCGGGGCGCGGACCTCGGGCGACGCGAGGAGCTTGCTGCTAGGCACGACCGGCGCACGGATCGTCTCGGTACGCATCGTCATGGTGGCGTCGTGGGGTCGTGGCGCGGGAGGCAACCCGGGCAGGAGGCAAATTCGAATTTGATGAGCGCTACACCCCACGCCTTTCGTCACTGCCGCTACCGAAATGCCGCCTTGTGATTGGCCACGTCGGTTTTGCATTTTGTATAAAAATACATACACACATCAAGTGGATTTAAAAAACGCTGCCCAACACGGTGGTCAATGCACGGCGAGTGGGACATGTGAAGGGCCTTGAAGCACAGAAACAGCGCTGCATAAACCAAGAGCTTTGTAACTCACGCGGACGCCAGAGTATTCCTCTTCTTGCTACTTTGCTCCTTGCTACCTTGCCAACTCGCCGCAACAACCTTTGATTTTGTTAGTATAACGGCGTAACGATGTGGTCTACAGGTGACTTACAGAGCTCGCCCCGCCCCATCAACCACAGCTTGGTACATCCCGGAGATACGACAAGTGACATTGGGTAGCGCGAGGTGCGAGGTGCATTGTAGCGGTGACGTGGACCCGCACCACGTCGTCTCGTCTCGTCTTTGGCGTCCAGCACAAGTTCAGCGACTTCGTGTTTGTGTCGGGTGGGATTTCAGTTGACTTTGATTTCGGTCAATCCGCGCCAAATTTCGAGTTGGGAGCGCCGTCGAGCTCATCGACAAGGTCCCTTCCTCCTCGTCCTGCTGGTTGTCGACGAATTCTTGGACGAATTTGATAATAACGTTGGGCACAGGCAGTACAACTTGGGGATCAATGTGACAAGCAACGAACGATTACACACGCCGCCGCTGCCGTTGACCTGTGAGAATCGATCCTGAATCTCAAAAACCTGGTAAAATCAATAAAACAACATGGTGGCGCGACTGACGTGCGTCGGCGGGTTCGGTACGTTCCGAGAAACGGCGAGCTTCACCGCCGACGACAGTGACGAGATCGTCGCTGCTGCCGGTGGCCACTCGATCACGCTCGTCGCGTGCAGAGATGCGGGTGTCGTCGGCTACGGCACGGCCTTCCACGGCGAACTCGGCCCCAACGGCCTCTCGTTGCGTCTGACCACCTTGTCGATTGTTCGCGTCTCTTGCGGCGGAAGCTTTGTCGTCGCTGCCTCGTCCGACGGCGCGTGTTATGCATGGGGCCAGGGCAGCACGGAGCCCATAAAGCTGCCAGAGATCACCGGCGCCGTCGACGTGGCGGCCGGCGAAGGCCATGCGCTCGCGCGGACCGCAGATAACGTCGTCTTCTCGTGGGGCAACAACCAGTATGGACAGTGCGGCATCGGCGTCTGCTCACCGCGCGTCGATGTACCGACAGCGTTGGCCGAGCACTGGAAATCTGTGGCCGCCGGCGCGCAGCACTCGGCGATGATTGCGACCAACGGCGATCTCTACACCTTTGGGTGGGGCCAGTACCACCAGCTCGGCCTTGGTAGCACCGCCGACCAGCCGAGCCCGGCGTGCGTCACGAGCCTCCAAGGAGTCGGCGACTACGTCCGCGGTGTCTTTACAGGCTTGCGGCAGGTCGCGTGCGGCGCGTGGCACACTGTCGGTACGCCCTCTTCATACCACTCCACACTCAAGCTTGCAATAGCGCTGACGACGACGGGCGACATGTACACGTGGGGGTGGGGCCAGCATGGCCAGTTGGTACTACGCTGTCAGCGACGGCGTGCGCTCACGGTGGCGGTCTAGGGCGGTTCGCACCTTGCCAGCCATATCTTCCCGACGCTGCTGTCCTTACACGACGAGGACGCGACGTTCGTCAGCATTGCCTGCGGCACAAGACACACCGCGGGGCTCACGGACGACGGTCGAGTGCATCTCTGGGGCATGCACACGCCGTCGCACGACCTCGTGGCCGGCAAATCCGCCGACGCCAACACCTCTCACACCATCGTGGCTGCGCCCGGGTGCACTGCGATCGCCGCGGGTGCCTACCACACGCTGCTGCTAACACCTTGAGGCTCTTGTCATACAAAGGGTGTCGTTTACTTAGTTTTTGTATCCTTCCTTCTACACTTGCTTAGGCTACGACGTCGACCGTCGTCTCTGCAGGCGCCTCGGTCGTCTCGACCGCCGCCGGTTCCTTGGCCTCGGTGGGGGCCTTGAGCGCCGCGACTTCGGCCGCGAGCGCGTCGTCGTAGAGACCCAGCGCCTTGAGCGTCGTCGTGAGCGCGAGGCCGTCGGGCTTGGCGGCCATGATATTGACCGTGTTGCGGCCGCGCCACACCACAAGGTTGAGCAGCTGGTCCCTACACATCAAGTATATGAGTGGCCTGTTCAGACAGGGGATGCTGTCGGCGTACTCGGTCGTCGAGAGCGGCTTGCCGTCGTCGCGCTTGAGCGTGCAGACGTAGCTGCCGAGCGCTGCGCCCTTGAAGAACGCGCCGAGCGCCTCGGAGAAGACGTCGAATTGAAGCAAGTCGCCGCGACGTTCGAGCATGTACTGGAAGTCGCGGTTGTGGACCTCAATCTTGCGCGCCTGCATGAACGGCTTGGCAATGTGCGTGCCGGCCTGCGTGAGGCGGTACATGCCGGTGCCCGTGCCAAGGTCGTGGCGCTCAAACATCTTGATGCCGGCGTAGACGACCTTCATGTTGAGCGCCTGCATGGCCGGGAGGAGCTCCTTCGAGACAGACGATGTCACAAACGTCACCGACTTGCCCGTGTCCGAGCGCGTAAAGAGCTGCGAGGCTTCAAAGCCCGACGTCATCTCAAAGCACTTTTTGACCTCGTCGACCTCGTTGAACGTCAAGTACTCTTCACCCTTGGGCAGTGGCTTGCTCTTCTTGTTCGGGTTGGCCGGCGCCTTGGGCTCAGCGACCGGCGCGACAGGCGCTTCCGGCGTCGGCGCCACCTTCTCGAGCAAGCAGATGAAGAAACCACCCGTGTTCTAGTGCATACGTGAGATACAACAGGTCGTACGAGACACGTACCTCGTCGTGCGGCAAGCAGCGCATGCAGCGGTCGAGGTTGAAGGCGTCGGCTTCGGCCTGGGTCGGCGGGAACATGGACGGCAGCAGTTTCTTGTACTGGCCGCGCTTGGCTTCGGCCTCCTCGTCGTACGAGGCGATGACGGCCATCTCATGGTTCATGACCTACACAAAAGATGGAAAATTGACAATAATCGGAAAAACCTACCGTCCAGGACGAAATACCGGGGCGACGCTTGAGACGCGGAAGGACCTCCGAGACGTCGGCGAGCTTCAACGCGCCGTTGGACCAACGGAGGAGCTCGGCGACGATCGCTTCGTTCTCAATCGGGTTGAACGTGCACGTCGAGTAGCACATGCGGCCGCCGACCTTGAGCAACGACGCGCCGTGCTTGACGATCGAGAGCTGGAGCGGGTGCAGCGAGAGGCCGTTCTTGACGTTCCACTTTTGCCAGATGAGCGGGTTCTTGCGCATCGTGCCGTCGCCGCTGCACGGTGCGTCACACAGAATTCGGTCAAAGAAGCCCTGCTTGTTGTCGTCGCTGCCCAAGAGCGGAAACTTCTGCGCTTCGTGGCACGTGATGACGAGCGCCGGCGACCCCACACGCTTGGTCTACATACATCGGATGGATCTTACTGCGGATACGGTGGGATGAGTGTTCTACCTGGTGCACGAGCATGTAAGCGCGCTTGATGTCAATGTCGTTGGCGACGACGAGGCCCGTCGGGAGCTTCCCCGTCTTGCTTTCGTCCGCATGAAGCGACTCGAGGAGCTGCGACGTCTTGGACCCGGGCGCTGCGCACATGTCGAGCACCTGGTATAACGAGTGCTGAGCCTAGGCATGGCAATAGCACGAGACGGACCTTGTGGTGCGACTCGACGCCAAGCACGAGCGGTGGGATCATGCTCACGGCCTCTTGGCGCGTAATGTCGCCGGCGTCCGAGAGGTTGACGAGCCACTTTTGAAACTCGCTGAGGATCTCGAGCTTCTTGATCTTGCGGCGCTCGACAGTCCACTGGAAGCCCTTCCCGTCCGGGTACCACGGCATTTGGCCGATCGGGTCGACCTTCTCGCCGTCAATGACCAAGTCTTCAAACTTGAAGTCGGTCGCGATACGCTCTTGGATCCTACATGTCGCCATGAGATGCTACATCCTTCAAGCCATCGATAGTACTTGTCGGCGTAGGCGCACGAGTTGTTGATGCGGAACGTCGTCGGCAGCGGCGCCGCCAAGTGCTTGAGGAACGCGTCCCACTCGGCGTCGACCACGATGTTTTGCGCCTGCATTGCATTGGCAACGGCTCGATGAGATGGCAGGTCGTACCTTGTAGTAGGCCTCGAAGGACTCGTTGCGGTAGACCCACTCGCCAAAGCCAGCCTCGCGGTCGTCCACCTTGCTGCCGTCGTCCGTGCGTGGCTTCTTCCACACGTTGGGGCCCTTGCCTCCCTTGCGACCGAACGGCTTGCGCTTGCCCATGGTTAATCTCGCTTTGGCTCACTGATTGGAAACGACGGATACCACACCGGTATCCGGATCGACTTGGCTAAAAACACGCTCCAGTTGGCGCCAGCAACGGATGAGCACCATGATGGCAACCAGGTAAGCTTAGTAGAACCAGGCAGCGCTCTTACACAGTCCGTCTGGCGCGCCAGTCGATATTGCCTGGCTATACAAGCTCAGGTCCCACCGTCGGGAGCGATGTCGTGGACACGTGCTGGCTGTCGAGATGACGTCGCCACGAGGATCATCATCGAAGGTTGATGGCCACCCCGGTCGAGCTCCGGGCCGTCAGTACGTGGTCCCAGCGGACCGCACGTCAATTACGTATGAGGAATTGGGCCGCAGGCTAAGTCATTCGATCGATTGGACGCTGGTCTTTGCACTTGTGGCCCACAATGTGACGCTGATCATGAGCCAGATCCGTACGTTGTGTGACTTGGTCCCCTGGTATCCTTGAGCCGAGTTGATGCGCTTGACCACGGCGAGGAGCGTGCTACCTACCTACTAGGACTCTGGTATCTCCTCTGAACATTGAGACGCTTCGTCACAAGACACAATACCAATTTCTATTTCTTACACGGGCCATCATTACATGGACGCGACCTGGGGCTCGTCGGTCGCCGAGTGCGTGACCTTGACAATGTACGGCGTCTTCTTGTTGGCCGTGTGCGACTTCTTGCCGACAAGACCCAAGTCGGTGAAGAGCTGGTTGTCCTTCTCAAACGCCGGGTTGGCCGTCGTGAGGAGCGTGTCGCCGTTGAAGATCGAGTTGGCACCGGCCATGAAGAGGAACCCCTGCTCCGCGTCCGAGAACGACATGCGACCCGCGCTGAGGCGCACCATGGTCTTGGGCATGAGGATGCGGGCGGTCGCAATCGCGCGCGCCATGTCAAAGGCCGTAACCGCCTTCAAGTTGGCATCCGCGAGCGGCGTCCCCTGGACCGACACTAGAGACACAAGATCTAAGAACCCTGCACATAGGGAAGGTGGAACACATACCGAGAGCGTTGACGGGCACCGACTCGGGGTGCTCTTCCATCGTCGCGAGCGTGTGCAAGAGACCGACGCGGTCGTCGTCCTTCTCGCCAATGCCAAGGATACCACCGCAGCAGACCGAAATGCCGGCCTTGCGGACGTTGGCGATCGTGTTGAGCCGATCGTCGTACGTGCGCGTCGTAATGACATTCGGGTAGTGCTCGCGGCTCGTGTCCAAGTTGTGGTTGTAGGCCGCGAGGCCGGCCTCCTTGAGCTGGACGGCCTGCTCTTCCGTGATCATGCCGAGCGTGCAGCACACCTCCATGCCCATGCCGTTGACTTCGCGCACCATCGTGAGCACGTCCTTGAACGCGTTCTTCTTGCCGACCTCGCGCCACGCCGAACCCATGCAGAAGCGCGTGCTACCAGCGGCCTTGGCGCGGGCGGCCATCTCGAGCACCTCGTCAACCTTCTTGCGCGGCTCGGGCTTGACAAACGTCTTGTGCTTGGACGACTGCGAGCAGTACTTGCAGTCCTCCGTGCAGCCGCCCGTCTTGATCGAGAGGAGCGTGCACTGCTGCACCTCGCGCGGGTCAAAGTGGATGCGGTGGACGGTCGCGGCCTGGTAGATGAGCTCGAGCAGCGGCTTGTTGTAAATCTCCTTGACCTCGTCGTAGCTCCAGTCCTACAGATGCATGAGGTCTCTGCCGCCTCATCCGTCGCATGCTGCGTACCGTGCGGACTTCGGACGAGACGCCGTTCAGCGAGAGCGACGAGGCCGCGCGGGCGGCGCGCGGGGCGCGGAGGACGACGCGGGAGAGCATGCTGGCAGATCTGAGGGGAAGCCGCGAAGTTGGCAAATGAGTTGGTCGAAAATCCCTCGCGAGTCCCAAAACCAGGTGGCGATCCACCCAAGCGCCTTCTGATTGGCTCAAAACATTGGAGCGAGCGGCCGCGCCGTTGACGTCACTGGCCTTGTGCTGGGTACTTTTATTAAATGGGTGCGTCTTGCATACAAATACCAAGTTGAAGCATGTGACGGGGAATTTAATTCCAAGGCGTGACGCGGATTGCATAATCGCGTTCGGTTCACGCATCCTCGAACCGGTTTGAAGTACACCCAATTCGACTCAACGACGTTATACAACGTGTTAGATCGACGATGCATGGCGACAAGATGGCGACCAACGCGTTATAACACGCACCATTTGTGTTAGATCGATATTAGCACTTCTATGCACAGGTTCAAGCTGTCTGCACAGGAAGCCAAATCTCGACGCCACCCGCGACCGTCGGGTCGAACGTTGCGCTGTACTTTTCAAAGGCTGGCGCCCCAGGCACCCGCGCATAATTGCCGTCGCGCCAGCCCCGAAGCGCGCGCCAGACGAGCCCGATCTCGTGTGTGCTGCCTTTGTGGGCAAACACAGCGTACGTGGCACGCGGCAGCGACAGCGACGTGGTCGCAGCCGTCGTATTGTCCGACGTCTTGGTCTCGGACGCGTCCGTCGCGCAGAGATACATGAACGAGCCGTCGTCGTAGTCGTAGCTCACGCCGTACGTGACTTGGTCGACGGTCGGCAGAGACCGCCAGAGCGCTGCAATGTCCGATGTCTTGTCGACGCGAAAGCGAGCTTGGACGCCGACGAGCGAGAGCGCGGGCCCATTTACAATGCGAAAGGTTGGCAACTGCATCGTATTGCGGGGGAGTTGGCAGCGGAATTTTTGAAAATGGCGCTCTGGCCAGCAACCGCTCTGTAGCAATCCTCAACAATCGAGCTCGCCGTCCAGCACGTTCATCCTCGTGCGCGTCTTGCTTGTAGTCATCCCGGACGCTGACGCACGAAGTGTACACTGTAGGTGGTCGTTGAACTACCGGCGACGTGGGATCCGTGGTGCTCCGCAATGGTACTCTTGCGATGACGCACCCCCATCATTTGGTTGCTACTGCATCGTTTCGGGCTTTTGATTGGCCCGTGCAAAGGAGATTTGCGGGGCGGGCTTGGGTCACATGGCGGCGAACCGGTTCGGATCAGTGAACCGACTCGGCCAGCTGGGCGTCCCAAGAAAACTCCTTTCTTGCAACGGCATGGGCGTTGATTACGTGTACCTATTGAAGCTGTCGCTGCACGGGCACCCACACTTCTGGCGCTTGGTTCACCGGGTGCTTTTCAAACATGGGCGCCTCCGCAAAGCGCTCCCAGCCGCCGCTGGACCATCCTGCCAGCGCACGCCAAGTGGCCGCATCGCTCTCATCGGGACGACGACCAAGACGTCGTTGGCCATTGTTGTCGTGGTGATCAAACACCCGAGACGTGCGGTCGGTCTCGATCGACTGGAAGACGGCGTATGTCGAATGGCGAAGCTGAAGCGACTGCCAATCGGCCGGCTGCGTGCGGTTGCCGGAACGCTGAACGCCGCAAAAGGTCGGAAACGGGCTGCTATCGTTGCCGTGCACGTGGAACGCTGGTGTGGCAAGCGCGGACAAACTGCACGCTGGGTTGGTAGCCGAAGCATTGGCCACGAAGAGACCCGCGAGCGATAGCGCCGGGCTCCCGACGACGATGCGGGGTGAGGACAGGTCCATGTCGACTGCGTCCGGTGATTTGGAAAATGCGCTTGCCACCCACGGGCCCCCTCGGAATCGGTCGACAAAGATGCAAGTGCTGCAGCTGGGTGCAAGAAACGCGCGTCTTTAAGGCTGTCTGCACGGACGATATTATTTTGCTCGTGATCGTATTGATCGCAGTGCGGTTCACGCGCCCATGTACTTGCATGGATCTCGTACACCACATTGCATGCTAACAAGCTCAGTCACATTTATGTCTCTGTTCCAACGAGCGTCACTCGGCCAAGACATCTTGTCCTAAGCCCTGTAGACCGTTAGCTTTGGTTCATTGCATGCATAAACACAAACACCCATGCTACTGCATGCTACGCGAGGGTTCTGGTCAAGGCGCCGAGGCTCAGATTCGAGGTGTACTTTTTAGGCGAATTCCATTCCGTGTTTACGACAGTTTGGCCCCAACTATGAAGGAATATCCCACTTGAAGCCGCAATTTGGCCGAATGAGCAGCGCCAACCGAATCGACGCGACCTGCGTCGGTCTCTCGCAGTTCTGCGCCAAGGACGTCGCTGGTTTCCGTGGCGTCATCAAGACCGAGTCCGCTCGCCTGATCCAGCGCCGAGCTAACGAAGTGCATTAGGCCCGACGACTTTCAAGTCCGCGAGGTTGACGAGGCAGGCCAGGTCGTGGACCTCGACGCAGCGCAGTCGCCTGCCTTGCCCACAAACGCCATGCCCGAGACGGCCAAAAAGACCAGCCAGGCGATTGAGGTGGCAGTGCCAGACTGCGGCTGGGAAGCCTTCCTCCTCCAGCGCATTGGCGAGAGCGCGTGCGCTGACGTTGCCGCGGTGGCCTCGGGGACCATTGGCAGCTACGCGCTACCCAGCCCGGACGACCTCGAGGACAAGGTCGCCCTCCTCAAGGCCATCCAGGTACGCCGCCACTTTGCCTTTTCATAACGTCCAACTCACGCGTACGCAGTTTGTCCACCCCGCGCTGCAGTGCGACACGGTGCGCGCGTCGACCAATGACGCTGGCGACACGATACCCGCCTCGATATCGCTCTCGCTCGACCCGCTCTATGTCAAGCTCGAAAAAGGCGGCTTGGCGGTCGACGACTGCAAGCGCGTCATGACGTTCCTCGTCCACGGGCCGTTGGCGCCGTCTGCCGAAGCTGGTGCGTACACACCTTCTACCTCACAACTGTGTGAGCGGACCATATTCACGGACGAGGTATAGGTGTTCGATTGGAGCAAGAGCTCACAAAGGAGGCGCGGACCAAGGTCCACCGGCTATTTGCGACCGCAACCGCCTGTCTCGTGACCAAGACCAACGCGGCACAGGGCATTGACGTGTTCTTTTCGCCCAAAATGCTGCAGCGGCGCAAGCGCAAACAGCAGTTTTACGTGCAATTCGTACTGCAAAAGGTTGTGCACAACTTGTCTATTGTCTTGGTTTCTTACGTCTTGGATCGCAGGTCGACGTCGACCACTTTACCGCACTCGAGGCGCTCGCCCGTGCGGCCAAGACGCCGACATCTAGCTTTACGTACGCCGGCACCAAGGACAAGCGCGCAATCACGACCCAGCGCCTTGTCGCGCAAAGCGTCGCACCCCGTGCGCTCCTCGACGCTCACACAGCGCTGGCACCGATGGGCCTCGCTGTCGGGCACCTCGCGTACGTCGCCACTCCTCTGGTACGTTCGTATCGTGCATCTCGCGATATCTCATACAGTGCTGCATGAGTAGACGCTAGGGCAATCGGGCGGCAACCAGTACGACCCATCATCTCGGACTTGGCGTTGAAGGTGGCGGGTTAGGTTTACCATTCGACTGCGGAACGTCGAGGGAACCCCGGACGTTGTCAACGCGGCATTTGCGAGCGTCGGCGCGACTGGTTTTATCAACTACTTTGGGCTCCAGCGCGTGGGCTCGCCGCTCCAGAGCGTGCGCACCCACCATGTTGGCCAAGCTCTCTTTCAGCGAGACTATGCCAGAGCGATCTCGCTTTTGTTTACATCCTCCGATTCCGACACACCGGTACCCCCTTGTCTTTGGAGCGAGGACACAGACGATGGTTAGGGTCTCGCGTCGGCCAAGACGACGTTTCGTAGCTCGCGGGATGTGAATGCCGCGCTGCGTGCGCTGCCCCCGTCGGCCGTCACCGAGCGCGCTCTGCTCATGGTATACATCCATACCCTTTTTCTAGGTCCCGTGTATGCATCCAACAAATAGGGGCTCAAGCGCTACGGCGCGGACGCACACGAGAAGGCGGTGCTCAATTTACCGCATCACCGCCGCGTCATGTACCTGCATGCGTTCCAGAGCCTTCTCTTCAACCTCCTCGCGTCATATCGTGTCGCCACGTACGGCGCCAACGTCGTTGCTGGTGACCTTGTGCTCGATGCCGCGACCAACAGCGTGTGCATCGTTGCATCGGCCGACGACGCGACCCGCTGTGATCTCAACGATGTCGTGCTGCCCCTCTTTGGGAGCCACACGACGGTGCCGACGCACGCCGTCGGCGACTACTACAAGCAGGTGCAACGACGACGAAATGGCGACATGGCCCACAATTGCATGCGTTTAGGTGCTGAGCGAGCACGGCATCTCGGAACATCAAGCGCAGCAACTCAAGGGGGCGTATCGGCGTGTCTTTTGCGTGCCAAAGGACCTGCACTGGACGCAAACCACGGGTAGTACATCGATCGAGTCGTTGAAGCGACAGCAGCTGATAGCGCGTGTATAGAGAACGCCACGGTGACCGTGTCGTTCCAGCTTCCTCCTGGTTCGTTTGCAACGATGCTGCTTCGGGAAGCGCTCAAGCACATGGACTTTGACGCCACTGTCGGCAGTAACGCCACCGAGTAGAGACTAGCAATATAGAGCGTCATGACGAGCCATATGCAGCATCCTACCGTCCTATCCACGGAATCTACAGGCCTGCAAAGTTGCACCTGCTATATGGTTTTGCCGCGTCTACGCGCTTTTAAGCGAACAGAGCAACGACTAGACTAGTATAACGATTGAACTCGATTCGTTCGCACGTGACTAGACTGTTATAACGATTGAACTCGATGGCTAGCACGTGTAGATCCGGTCGCTCCAGCGGAGCGAGAGCAGCGTGTCTTTGCGAACGACGCTGAGGATGTTATCCATCTCGTCGTCGTCGTGCGTCCGCAGCTCTTGCAAGCTCAGGGGATGGTAGTAGACGCAGCCGGACCGGCTGTCCTTGTACACAAACACAGTCGATGTCCACCACAGCGCGTGCGCCATGTATTCGATCGGGTCGGTCATCCACGCGACGTTCATGAGCACGTGTTCGGCCTGTCGCCGGCCGCCGCTCGGGTACAATAGATTGGCGACCGCCGACTGCGTCGCCATCTTGTGCATCGAGACCGTCGACGCGTCCTTGTCGACAAAGAGCGTGTTCCAGGACGTGCTAAACATGCTGCTGCTGCAGTACGACGTCACTGCGTACGGCACAAGCGACCGCGCGCGCACGACATTGACGCGCAGGAACCGAAGTGCAATGTGAAGACAAAGAAAGGCCATCAGGAGGCAGCGCAGGTCCAAGAAAAGGCCCCAGTAGCGCACGTTGCTCGGCAGTGTGTGCAAATACCGAATCGCTGCGACGTTTGCACTCGGCGCCATGGCTGCGTGGCGGACGATGTCTGTATTTCGGATCGAGAGCAAGCGAATCTCAAAGCCGATCGAGCAAAACGACACGAGCGGAAGGACGTAGCCGCGGAAGCCGAGGATCGCTTGGCCCCGACGGTGGTCGCGCGCTGCGAGCAATAGCCCTTTGGTCAAGAGGCTGAGCACCCACACGTTGCGCATGTGGCACGACAGCATCGTCAGCACAAAGTAAATGTAATCGGTCGTGATGACCAGATTGCCGTTGACACTGGAAAATGCACGGTACACGAGCAGGTACACGAACGGCGCGTCCATCGCGTGCGCCATCGCAAAGAGAAGGACGGGAAACCAACTGCCGTAGATGATGACTTGGGCCGGGATCCGAAGAAAGCAGCCGAGCGCGGGGCGATATCGGCGCGACGCCGCGAGGTAGCAGCCGTAAAACAAGACGCCGACGCGAATAATGTTGTACAGTTGGCCCACAAAGCGAAGACATCGCACGGCGCGGTACGTATTGACAGTGTTGGTGTTGAGAAGGCCGCCTTCGTACCGGTAGTCGTCGACCGACACGGTGGTACACGCCCTTGGCGTCGAGCAGTTGCGAACGCGGAGGAGCGTGACAATGTCAAAGTTACGCGGGCGAACAATCGCCATGCCACCAATCCACGGCCGAAAGTCAGCGCCGCTCTCAATCACAACCATCTCAGCCACCTGCGTCGAGCTATCCAAGGCGGCAAGAGCCAAAGCAAATCGTTTTTGAATGTGCTGCGAGACGCGGCCAATGCCAGCGCGCGGCGCTACATCCGATTCAAATCAACGCGATGACGGAGGACTATACGAGCGTACCGCTCAGCGTGCTATAGTCGGCTTGGCTCTGCTCGCAAAAGTTGGGTCGAATCGCGCGCAAAGCATGGCACGCATCGTAGGCCGAGTGCATGACGTACGCCTGGACACTGCGAAACTCGTGCTCCATCACGGCATCGGTGGGCGCGAGCGCTTCGTGCACCTTGTCCTTGTAGAACGACTCGACGCGCAGTGCTGTCGGCTGCGACTCGCGAGACACGAGCGATGCAACCGAGTTGTCGAGCATGGTGAACACAGTTGCGAGGTCGAGCGACACGTTCATACAGGCATGTGCATAGAGGAGACAGGGATCCCTACTTGGAAATGGTTTTCGTTGAGAAGAAAAAAGGTACCAGCCAAGAATGCCGTAATGTTGAACAAGCGCACGCAGGCCGACAGAGCACGTATCGGACCGGTAGCTCCACACGGTAGCAACGGCCGCTGGCTTGACACCGATCGCGCCCGTAAACGCACCTACCAACCGTAAGTCGAACGTCATCGAGGACATTGCACCGCTGCGCGTGCGGTTGATGCGCATGACAGGGTAGTTGTACGGTCCCCAGTACGAATAGACCGACTCTTGAATCCGGTTGAACGTATCTGCGGGCAGCGTGGCAAAGCCGTACCCGCTGCGCGGAATGTCGGTGAAGAACAGCCCGTAGGAGAGCAGCGCAAGCAAGATGCGACGCCACGTGAGCGGAATGGACGCCGCAAGCGTCTCGAGCGACGGTGCGTGCGGCGCCGAGAGCGACGGCCCACGCGCTTGCTCGTGCATTGGCGCCCAACTCGAAATAGCCCACGACTTGATAAAGATAGAACATGTGTTTGGCACAACAATTTACACTCCAAGTAATTCTATCCCAAAAGGACGTTATCAACAGCATTTGCAAGAGACGCCGTCGGCCAGCTTCATTCGTACGAGATATTTCCCGCCTATATACAAATATCACGACTCTAGGCGCGTATAAGGTCAATGTCGAAACGTTGGCTTTGACGTCAAATGTCAAATATCGCGTTTGCAAAACCAGTCCTGATTTTCCACAGACCAGCTCCAATTCCCCAAGTCGAAACGTAAGACGAAATCTTGGTAGCAAAAGCGCTCTATTGAACTCGATTCCACCGCACAATATACATACAGTGCTCCTCGCCACTTGCCAACGGGATGCGCCAGCGGTGGTTCAACTCCCGTCATACGGTGGCTCAGGACGGTTGCGCGCCTGCTACTTGGATGAAGTACGCTTCACGGGGTTCTGGCTGCTCTTGCATCATTGCGCTCTAGATAGGCTAGCTCAGGCGTGCTCTGACATGACCGCACTTGGTCGTTCAATCGCGCTGCCTTGCTTAGTATACGATTGAAGGGACTGTCTTCCCAATAAAGTGGGTTGGCATACATACGCTAGCTACAGTAGATGCGGTCCTGCCATGGCAGGTCGAAAAATCGCAGGTGGCTCTGCATCGAAAGGAGGTTCCGCACGCGGGCATCGAGCGCGCACAGCTCCTCATAACTCCACGGATGGTACACGAGCTCGGACGTCGCCTTCTCAACGTACACGTAGAGGTGCGAGTCGTCGGCGATGCACCGGACCAGCACCTCGATCGGGTCGGTCATCCACACGACGTTCATGAGCACGTGCGTCGACGCCGTGTACTTGTCGCTGCTTGGAAACAGCATCGTTGTCAACGGCGTCTGGATCACGACGTCGTTGTTGCCGACGACGGACGACCGCCGGCGCGCCGACGGCTCGCGGTCCACAAAGAGCGTGCTCCACGCCGTGCTAAACATGCTGTGGTTGCAGTACGACGTGGCCACGTACGGCACCAGCGAGCGCGACCGGACGTGTTTGACTCGGAAAAATCGAAGCACGAGATGCGCAATCAGAAAGGCCAGAAGCGAACTCCGCGCGTCCAAAAAGAGGCCCCAGTACCGATAGTTGGTCGGCAGCGTCTGGCGTTGCCGGATGGTGGCCACAATGTGGCTCGTCGCGACCTGCGACGTGTCAACGACGTCGGTATTGCGCGCGGAGAGGACGCGAATGTCAAAGGCCAGAGCGAGAAGCGAGACGAGCGGGAGGACGTAGCCGCGGAAGCCGAGAAGGTGCTGGCCGATGCGGTGCTGGTCGTTGGCGACCAACATCGCCTTGGTGAAGAGGCTAAGCACCCACACATTGCGCATCTGACACGTGAGGATCGTCATGAGAAAGTAGAGTCCGCTCCAGGTGAGTGTCAAGACGCCGTTGAGCGTCACGAACGCGCGAAAAATGAGGTGGTACACACAGGCGCAGTCGATCGCGTGCGCCAAAACGAACAGAAGGACGGGGCACCAGCTGCCGTAAATGATGACTTGGGCTGGGATCCGAAGGAACGATTTGATCGCTGTCGACATGCGTTCATGAAGAGGCCGATCCTTGTTGCGGTGGGCGTAATAGCACCCGAAGAGCAGCAAGACGACGCGCAAAATGTTGTAAAGCTGCCCCAAGAGGCGCATGACGCGCAAGAGGCGATAGTAGCGCAGCACGTCCGTGGTGGCCAGCCCGGCTTCGTACCGAAAGTCGTCGACCGAGATCGTCGTGCAAACATTGGTCGAGGAGCAGTTGCGCACGCGGAGGATCGTTGTGATATCCAAGTCGAACGGCATCGTGGGCGAAACACCGCCGCTCCATTGCCGCCCATCGGCCGTTGACTCGATGAGAACCAAGTCGGCCACCTGGGAGCGCGGATCGAGCGTCGACGCGACGGCGTCAAAGCGCGCTTGGATGTGCCGCGACAGCTCCGTCACCGCCGTGGTGGGTCCTAATGATAACAATGTATGCCATCAAGATTGGAATAGCTATCTCGCTACCCATGGAGCTCAAGTTGGCCCACAGCATGTCGCAAAATATTGCCCGCACTGGACGATCCCACGCGCACACGTCGGTTGCTCTCGAGTGGAACGAGAGAATGTGAATCGTGCGAAGCGCCCGCTCCATAAAAACCTTGGTCGGCGCCACGAGCTCGTGGATCTTGTCCTTGTAGTAGTACTCGGTGCGCGTTGTCGTGCCCTGCGGAAGTGACGCGAGCGATTCGGCAAGGCTATCAAGCAGAGCAAACGTCCCGCTGAGCGGCAGTGTCGGACTCTCGCAGGCGGATGCATACAAGAGACACGGGTCCCTGCGTCATCGAATTTGCCGGTCACTTCTACGTGAGCAGCAAATGCGTACCAGTTGGGAATATGAAAGTGTTGCACGAGTGCGCGGAGGCCAACTGAGCACGTGTCAAACTTGTAGGCCCAAACAGGCGCTGCATCAATCGACAAGTCGCCGGCGTGACCGACAAACGAGCCTACAAATCAAGGTGGACGTTGAGTTTCAGATGGAAAGCGCGCAACAACCGTTGATTTGGCGCTCAATGTGCACAACCGGGTAGTCGTACGGACCCCAGTGACAGTACACTGTCTCGGTCAGCTGGTGGTAAATCGTGCTCGGCAGCGTCGCAAAGCCGTACCCGCTTCGGGGAATGTCGGTGAAGAAGAGAAAGTAGGACGCCAGCGTAAACAGGACGCGGGTCGGTGAGAGCACGGTGTGCGCATCTACGGATGTGAACGACCGCCGCCCCCGCGTCAGCGCCGGGCCCATGCTGGACATAGCCCCGGGCGAATTCCGACTTTTCTACTAAAGTACCTAAACGGTTACGACATTATTCCGTTCAAGCACGGCGTTGGACGGTGGTGCGTTGTCCTGTAACGTATGTCCTACATTAAGACACCCATCGAATGGAGATCCAAGGAGCAAGGTCGCACTGGTGCTCGCACGCTCAACAAGTTCCTCCTGCGAGCCACATCAGCTGATATGTGGTCATAGGGTTAGGGTCCTCGTTAACTGCAGTGAATGCGATCGATCCACGGCAGCTCCCAGAGGCGGTCCACGCGCAGTAGGTGCACCGAGCTTGACACATCTTCGACGACGCCTTCGAGTTCGTTGACGCTCCACGGATGGTAGAGCACATTGCCCGAGACTCGCTCAAGGTAGACATACACGCGCCCTTTTTCGAGCGGCACGGTGCGGCAGTACTGGCTGCCGAACTCAATCGGGTCCGTCATCCACACAAGATTGATAAGCACGTGCTGCGGTAGCTTTGGGAAGAGAATCCAGTGCGGCGCAACGACAGCGTTGACCGACACGGGATCATCGAGACTGACAAAGAGCGAGCTCCACGCGGCGCTGAAGAGCGTCGTGTTGGCGTATGCTGTCGCTGCGTACGGCACAAACGTATAGTCGCAAAGCCGAGCGACACCGCATAGGCGCAGTAGCACGCGCAGTACGAAGAACGAGAGGACGAGGCTCGTGGCGTCGAGGTAGAGTCCCCAGAGGCGGCTATTGGTCGGCAGCGTGTGCTGGTACCGAATCAGCTGCACCGTTTGGCTTGGTGCGACCCGCGTGTGCAAGAGCACGTTGGCATTTCGAAGCATGAGCAGTCGCACGTCGAAAAAGATGGCCGAGAATGAAATCAGTGCGAGCACGTAGCCGCGAAACCCGAGGAGGTGCTGGGTTCGAACCCACGTCGAGCTGTACAAGAGCATCTTGGTGACCACCGAGAAGACCCAGAGGTTGCGCATGTGACACGTCAGCGCCCGCGTCAGAAAATACGCGAATTCCCCGCTCAAAGCAAAATCGCCGTTGAGCGTCGCAAACGCGCGGTAGACAACGCAGTAGACCATGGCGCTATCAATCGCGTGCGCTAGTGCAAAGACGACGACGGGCAACCAGCTGCCATAGATAATCACTTGGGCAGGTATCGACAAAAAGAGACGCAGCGCGGACCGGAGCTTCTGACCGGCGGCCACGTAGCACCCAAAAAAGAGCATCAAGGTGCGGACAATGTTGTACGTTTGGCCGACCAATCGGAGGAGTCGAATGAGACGGTACCAATAGACGACGTTGGTGCGGAAGAGCGATCCTTCGTACCGAAAGTCGTCGACGTACACGGTTTTGCAGGTCGTCGAGCAGTTGCGCACCCGTAAAAAGGTCACGACATCAAAATCATGGGGCTGTGCGCGCGAGATGCCGCCGACCCACGGGCGAAAGTCCGCCGCGCACTCGAGCACAATCATCTCGGCGATTTGCTGGACGCCATCCAGTGTCGCGACTTTGGCGGCAAACCGAGCTTCAATGGCCTTGGCGACGCCTTCCAGGCTCGCACTGGGCGCTATCAGATGCATATTTTAGCGCCAAGATCCGGGCAAGAACGCACCAAGGCTCGAGAAATTAGCCCACGCCTGGTCGCAAAAGGACGGCCGTCTTGCGCGATGCGGGTCGCAGAGATCGTGTGGCGATGCGAGATGGAACGCCCGCACAGTGCGCAGCTCGCGGTTCATAAAGGCGTTGGTGAACGAAGCCGCGTCGTGGATCACGTCGTTGTACATGTACTGCAGTCGGAGTGACGCGCCGTCGTCGTTCAGCCCCGCAATCGTCGTGACGACGTTGTCCAGCATCGTAAAGAGCGATGCCGCGTCGACGACAGCGTCGCTGGCACAATGTGTTGCGTACAGCAAACACGGATTCCTACAGTTCAATGTTCGACGTCGTATTGCCGTGTTCCTGTAGCTCGAGTACCAGCCAGGAATCGCAAAGTGCTGCACGAGTGCGCGCAGGCCAATCGAGCACGTGTCGTACTTGTAGCTCCAGATCGTAGCGCCAGAGACGGTGGTGGTTCCATCGGATGCGACGAGCGACCCTACGAGCACGCTCGAGATAGCACTGGAGAGGGCATGTGTACCAGAGCTGTTGCGCGTGATGGCAATGATCTTATAGTCGTACGGTCCCCAGCTGGAGTAGATGGTCTCGGTAACTTGCGAGTAGAGGGGGTACGGCAGCGTTTCGTAGCCGAGTCCGCTCCGAGGAATGTCTGTAAAAAAGAGCACGTACGAGAAGAGAGTGAAGCAGATGCGGCGCGAGGTCAGCGGCGCCCCCGCAGTTGCCTCCCGGTCCGGTGCCATGGATCCGATGGCTCGAAATAGCTTTTGGATGCTGGACAATGGTGGCCCGATAACGACCAAGAGATATCGTAATGGTGGTGTAGACTGTACGTGTTGCCAACGATGTGGCTATGGCAATGCTAATTGTGTTACTCGTGCGGCCATGGTTTTCAAAGGGTCAATTAATACGAGTTGTTTTGGTTACCACCTGGGGCACCTGGCAGATTATCTGGACCAAAGTATGTCATTGTAGTGACCTTTTCAAAATTCACGCCGATGTAGTAACTTTTGCAAAAAGTGGGCCAAAGGTAGTAAGTAACCTTTGAAAATACTCTCGATTATTAGCCCCTTGCCCGTGCGGAGCTTTGAAACACGTGTTTAGTAACACATGTCCTTTGTAGACAAGCTCGCCAACATATTGAAAATAACCAGAAACGGGCACCCAATGGTACAGAGCGAGAAGACTCGGTGCTGCTGGCCTCAGTCAAACACTTTACTGTAGTCACTATAAACCACTGGCTAAATTTCTACTAGTAATGAACAGAAATCGCTTAGCAGCAATAAATACGGTCACGCCACGAAAGCGAGAGAAGCGTCGTTTGGCGCTCAATGCGGAGGAGGCGCTCGACGTTCGGACTGTCGGCTTGCAATTCGGGGATGCTCCACGGATGCAAGACGCTGGCATCGACCATTTCGCCTGTCCCATGCAAGTACCCGTCGACCATTGACGCCGTTGGCAGTGCCGGCGTATACGCGTAGACAAACACGGTTGCAGGCGCAAAGCGCTGGTAGAGGGACTCGATGGGATCCGACATCCACGCAATGTTCACGAGCACGTTCTCAGATCTTCGGTGGTCTGCGCACCCAATGCCCACGTCGGTCGGCGAAATGACCGACGTCGACGCATTGGCCCAGAGACTGTTCCAGGACGTACTAAACATCGTTGGGTTGCACGCGGTCGCGGCCATGTGCGGGATTTGCGTCACGCGCTTGAGCCCGTTGCCCCAAACAGCGTACGCAAAAGCATAGAGGAGGATGAGGGCCATCGTCAAGCAGCGTAGATCGAGGTAGACGCCCCAATACCGGTAGTTGGGCGGGACCGACTGCAGTTGCCGGATCGCACTAAGCGTCGCACTGGGCGCTATTCGCGTGTGCGCGACAACATCAACGTTGCGCAGCGAGAGCAGCCGAATGTCAAAACCGAGCGAGACGAACGCCACGAGCGGGAGGACGTAGCCGCGGTAGCCTTCAATACCGTGTCGTCGGTACAGCACCTGCGTTTTTGCCCAGAGACTGAGGAGCCACACGTTTCGCATCTGACACGTGAGGACAGTGAGCAGGTCCAGCATCGCATCGATCGTCCTGCTAAAGCTGCCGTTGAGCGAGCTAAACGCGCGAAACACAAAGACGTAGACCACGGGACAGTCGATAAGGTGGGCGACTGCAAACATACTCACAGGAAGCCAGCTCCCGTAGATGATGACTTGGCTCGGAATACGCAGGAACGTCCGCAGCACTGTCCGCAGTTGCCATAGAGAGTGTTGGGACTGAAAACCCGCATCGGCGGTGCGGGCGACGTAGCACCCCACAAGGAGCAGCAGAACGCGGCCAATGTTGTACAGCTGCCCAATTAGCCGCAAGATCCGCGTGAGTGCGTAGTACCCCACAACGTTGGTGCGAATGAATGCTGTCTCGTATCGGTAATCTTCAATGTCAACGGTGCTGCAGCTCGCGGTGTCGAGGACGTTGGTGCAATTTCGCACGCGAAGGATTGTCGTGACGTCGACTGCAAACGGCTGAAGCCGCGCAACACCGCCGCCCCAGTGCCGCCCATCCGCAGCCGAGTGCACAATGGCCATGTCGACAAGCTGCGTCTTTGGATCGATATCGGCCAGTTGCGACGCGAACCGCGCTTGTATGTGCTGGGTGACAGACCCCAGAGCCGCCATGGGTCCTGCGCGTGTTCAAATTGGTGTCAGAACTGCAGGATAGGCTTTACCTAATGCATAAAAGTTGGCCCATGGCTCTTGACAACCAAAGGGCATCTGGATTGGTGGGAGCACACACGTCAGTAGGTGTCGTCATGATGTAGACTTCAACAGAGCGCAGGTCTCGCTCGACTAGCGCCCGCGTCGGTGCGACGGCATCGTGAATCTTATCCACGCTGCGGCTCTCAACGCGAAGGGCGACCCGGTGATGTAGAGAGCTGACAACGTCAACAAGACTGTCGAGCATACGATACACGGTCGATGCATCGACAGCATTGCTGCCGCACGGGCACTTGTAGAGAAGACACGGGTCCCTACGAATTGCAAGTGTCGATGACGTCCGCGCCGGTTGAGGCTCGCACCAGAAAGGCACGTGAAAGTGCTCGACAAAGCCGCGGAGACCCATGGAGGTCGTGTCAAATTTGTAGCCCCAGACAGGCGCGACGGATGGTCCGGTGAGAGATCCTACGTCTTGAGTGTGCGGAGACAGGGATGATTGCACGGACCATTGATTTCTTTGGTGAGCGCGATCACCGAGTAGTTGTACGGGCCAAAGTATGAAAAAAGTGACTCGGTCACGGGCTGGAACGTTGGGGGTGGCAGTTGGCGCACACCAAACCCGCTGCGCGGAATGTCGGTGAAGAAGAGCGCGTACGAGACGAGAGAAAGCACGATGCGCGTCCAAGTGAGCGGCACGTCGCACTCGATCGTGTGAAAGCTGGGTTGGCGCGGCGCGGTGGCCCGCGGGTTCATGCACGGGCCGAGACGTAACTGGAATGCTCACCAAAATAGACGCGGCGATCCATGGTATTGACTAATGTCGAAAGCAGCGACCGACTCTTTATAAAAGACAACCTGTGGACAGTAGGGGCAGAAATCACGAGTTCAACGAGGCGCCGATGACGATGACCTCGAAGAAATGTAAGATATGCTTTGGTACTAGTAAGCGATGCTTGTTGCAACCTTCAGATTCGCATACGCTGAAGTAGGGTCTTATCGACACATTTTCCAGTATACTAGTACGGACACTACACATAATGTAGCGCGGCAAGAGCAGGCAGGGGCAAGTGCGCGAGAGGATGCAATAGAGTACCTACGAATACTTACCATGTCGCCGCCGATCAAGAACCAGCACACTCGATAACATCGACAATACCTCGTGTACCAACATCTAAACACAATACAGTATGAGCTTCAACGATACACACCGGAGTAGCGTACAGTGTACTGGAGCACACTAGAGTATTGTCAGTATGCTAAAAATGGGGTTTTCAAACGCCCAAGGAATTCCATTGCCACCGACTCTTTCAGCAGCTGCTTGCTGTTGGTCCACAAGGGGCCCTGCGAGTAGCCACGAAAAAATGAGTTTCTAGCCAATGTTTATGGCCTCTCGCACGATCCACACCATGCACGTCCCATCATCAGTCCGGCGCACATTACGTGTACTCGCAGGTCCCACTGATCTGCAACTAGAGCCCAGCGTTTGAGCGACCGCCGAGCGTCAATGTCGTCGACCGAAGATCGCTGGCAGCCTGCAGCATTATCGTGTGCTAGCCGGATACCATCTTCGCCAACGATACGACGCACTTGGATGTACATTGTCTGAGGCCCGTACTAGACTGCTTTCTAAATTAGTAGACTGCCGATTCGCTCAGAGTACAGAGCTGCGCTCGTCGACGAGCTGTCGACAATGAGCGCTGCCACCAATCGCAGTCGCTTCCTCCGATAGCAACGTTGGCAAGGGACACCGATCGACACGCACGTTTGCCACGCGTTTGCAGTGGACACGATATAGGACCTCGTCGACAGCCTCACGCGAAAAAGTCGACTTCACCCGTCGACCACTGAGGCGTCCGTCCTGTGCTTCGGCGACCTTCGGTCCAGGCACTTCCGGCGGTGTCAACATGTGTTGTACCAGATGTAGGTGGCGAGAAGAGTGTATGTCGATGATACAAGCAAGATCGTCAAGTCGAAGGGTGGAGTTCACTTTCCGATTTCCATCGTCTCCACTACGACAACACCATGAAGTTCTCGACCATCCTCGCTGTTACCATCGCGTCGGTCGCCGCTGGCCCGTGCGACCTCGCTGTCTTGACGGAAAAGTTTGCGCCTGTGCTTACGTCGTCGAGCTACCCGCTCTGCTCGGCTGATACGGGCTACCAGCTCGCTAGCCTCCTCACGGGCCCGCTCCCGACGACGACGCAGGCCGCGGCCCTCGTCAAGAGCGACAACTGCCAGACGCTCTACACCGGCACGCTCCAGAAGGTCGCCGGTGGCGTCACCCCGTCGTGCACACTCGGCGGCGTCGAGCTCAGCGTGATTGCTGTGACGCCCATGGACAAGGCGCTTGCTGCCTTGGCGGCTGCGGCGGCACCGGCGGCGGCGATCCCGGTCTGTGACTCGGCTGTGCTTACGGCGAAGTTCGCGCCCGTCCTCGCGTCGCCCAGCTACCCGCTCTGCTCGGCGGATACGGGCTACCAGCTCGCCAGCTTGATCACGGGCCCGCTCCCGACCTCAACGCAGGCGGCGGCCCTTGTCAAGAGCGACAACTGCCAGACGCTCTACACCGGCACGCTCCAGAAGGTCGCGGGCAGCGTCACGCCCACGTGCACGCTCGGCGGCGTCCCGCTCAGCACGCTCGCCACGACGCCCATGGACAAGGCACTCGCTGCTTTGGCGGCTGCGGCGGCGGCTCCTGCGATGGGTAACAACAGCACGTCGACGGCTACTCCCGCCGCTACGACGACTGCTGCTGGCTCCAAGGCGGCGGCTGCGACGGCGGTCCCTGCGTCCACGAAGGCGTCGGGCGCTGCTTCGGCTGGTATTGC